TGGGGATATCTTAAAGACAAAGTGTAATAACAATAAGCCCTAAACTATTCAAGATCTTAAGGCAAACATACGACAGGAATTTCTTTTCCTACAACCTCAGATGTTAAGAAGTGTTGTGGAGAATAGCTTAAAAAGAGCTCGACATTGTGAAGATGAGAATGGAGGCTATTTAAGAGACATTATCTTTCGTAACTAAGTCAGAACTAACTTACAGATTCTAAACTTTGTAATAAAAAAAGAATTAATTAAATACAGTCGTTTAATAAAAAGTTATTTAATTTTTAAAATGTAAAGTGACTTATGGGCCACCCTGTATAACTGTCATGCTGATTTTTTTTTTTACTTTTGATATGAGAAAACAACTAAATTAATTATGCATTTCTCAAATATTGGTGATTTTTGCTGTATCTTTATTTGTTTACAAACATGACCAAATACATTCATAAACACTCTTAAAAGTTTTAATTTTAAAAACAGTCTACACAAGCAACACTTAGGAAAATCATTAATAAATTCACTAAAAACATAAAGTTAGGATATAAATCCTGTGTTAAATATTTCATTTTGAATGTTTCGTTTTAATCATCTATGCATTGTTTCGTGTTAAATGTTTCATTTTAATCATCTATGCAATGTTTCGTGTTAAATATTTCCTTTTAATTATCTATGCAATGTTTTGTGTTAAGTGTTTCATTTTAATCATCTATGCAATGTTTTATGTAAAATGTTTCATTTCAATAACCTGTGCAAGCAATTCAATTAATACATTCTATTTTTGTACTCTGCTACAACATTTTGTTTTTGAATTTTGTAAATGATAGACAAAAAAACAGGAGTTATTTTTTCTGACGTTGGTTCTGACAACAAGTTTGTTGATTTTTTTTTATTAATTAGTTACTTGTAGATATTGCAATTATTGCACACTAAGATTCCCTTTGTATAATTCTTTTTGGATAAATATTAACAATTGCGATGTCCTACAATTTCCTCGGACATTATTTCTGCACAAAAAAGTTCTTGAATGAATGTATATAATAGCATAGCGCTAAACTTAAGTTGATGAGAACAAATTGTTTAGCGCTATAAGGATTATGTTTTTAATTATAAAATTTTTTTATATCAATAAATACTTAGATTAACATGAAAAACATTAAATGTACGCATAACATTATTATTCTCTTCTAAAATTATTATTCTTGTTTTGCGAGATAAAAAAACCAGAGCTGTTTGACGGAATTTCTGTTTTGAAAAAATGTGTTGAAAGGTTTAGCATAAAAAATGATGAATAAACAGGCATTACCATTATAACGTATATAAATATAACTTTTCACAATAAAGTTGCTTATAGATTGATTGATTGATCATGGATTGATTGATTGATCATAGATTGATTGATTGATCATAGATTGATTGATTGATCATAGATTAATTGATTGATCATAGATTGATTGATTGATCATAGATTGATTGATTGATCATAGATTGATTGATTGATCATAGATTGATTGATCATAGATTGATTGATTGATCATAGATTGATTGATTGATCATAGATTGATTGATTGATCATAGATTGATTGATTGATCATAGATTGATTGGTCATAGATTGATTGATTGATCATAGATTGATTGATTGATCATAGATTGATTGATTGATCATAGATTGATTGATTGATCATAGATTGATCATAGATTGGGTCTTGTTAAAATTGTTTTTGTGATGCTTTTTCAACTGAAGAATTAGCAAAATAAAAATTAAAAAATTGAAGGTAATGAAAAAGATGTACTGATGTAATTTTTACCTCCCCCTCTCCCTTGTCAACAACTTGTTAAACTTTCAGAGACCCTCCTATAAAATTATGTCAATAATTAATTTACTCCCCTACCCTCCCTCTTCCTTAAGTAAAATGAAAAAAAAAACTTTTTTTCATTTTACTTAAGGAAGAGGGAGGGTAGGGGAGTAAATTAATTGTTTAACTTTTACTTTAAATAATAGATATAGTAGTAGTTTACAACTTCTAGAAAAAGTGTTTAAAAGTAAAATGTTTAGAAAAAGACTTAATTCATCTTTCAACTTATGAACATTTTTTAGACATATATAACCACAAAGACTTGCTCTGAACAAAAAGTGAATATGAGTAAAAGTGATTACTACATGCAACACCATTGGTTTAAAAACTTCTTCCAGTGCATGGTAGAAGGTAAAAAAAATTAATTTCATTCAACTTATCAAAAAATTGCAAGTCGATATTATGCAAATAATAAAAAATCGCTATAAACATTAAAACTTTGATGGAGGAGAGTGATCTTGAAGATGGAGGAGGAAAGGCGGATTTGAGTTCCTCGATGTTTACTATGATAAAGAAATCGTAACTATTGAAATTTTTTTTGATAAGATCTTCAAGTTCTTTTTTCACAAAACAAGTTTATATTTTTAAGTTGTTATATTACAATTAATAATTACAAACAAAAAGAGCTACTACCGTATTGTAGCATTGCAATTTTAACTTCAAATGTTTATACCAGGGGTGGGCAACCTTCTTGCGAGCAGCAGGTTTCTGACCCTTGGTATAAACATTTAAATGATATAATGTAGACTATGTACTTACATAAATCTTTATTTGTTTTTACAGCAGGCCGACAAACACAAACTTTCAAAAAGTGATATTGTGACAAGTAAACATTTTGCGTGTGCTCATTTAACTCTATATGTGTCAGAGCTAAATGTAACACAAGACTTCAAACGCTGCTTAATTCTCCTTTTTTTAAGTTTAGTTCAGTTTATTTTAGTGGTCAATAATTTAAAATATTTACAACAATTCGTAATAAATTTATAGACTTTTGAAAAATCATAAATGTTCGCTATGTTAAATTACCAGCGAAGATGTTCTGCATCAGGCATCTCTATACTAAGAGTCTTAAGATACTTGTGCATATCTGAAACTTAAGCATTAAGTTTAAGATATGCACAAGTTTAATTTTTAATTTTTAATTTTTTTTTTGCTTCAAGTTTTTTTAATATTTAAAGAAACTTTTCTTCTTTTTATATAATTTTCAAAACCTTTTTACTGCCCCTGATAGTGAATCTATAGAACACCATTTTTAGTCTTTAGATCACTTTTATTCATCAACGTTAACATGAATTTAGTTAAAATCTTTTGAAAATTTGGTTAAATCTTTTGCCTTAATTTATTATAGATCCTAGTTCTAATTGTTTCTGACGTATACTAACTATATATTGTTATAAAAATACAATATTTTTATCAATTTTCACAAAAAATACCAAAAAAGAGCTTATAATTAAGAAAAATTGCCAATAAACATTCAGAACAGATTATATTATTAAACTATGATGTTCATTTTACCAAAACAACGTATTTATTTAAAATCTTATTCAAATTTGGACAAGCGATTGTGATTTTAAAAAGATAAAAAAAATACAACAATCTTCTTCAGGGTTTTTTTACTACAAACATTTATATTTTATTCAACCGCAAAGTTTATAAATTCTTTTCATCTTTTTATAATTCCAGACCTGATAATTTAACAGAAATGTCGTAGTCAAAAAAATATCATACAGGCGCTATGATATTTTAAAATTGTCTTAACTATACCAAGTAAGTATGCATGACTAGTAACGAAGTAACTCAATTTATTTAAAAAGGTAACATTGTTGGCGTCAACTTTTCTTGACCTCCTACCCCCCCCCCCCTCCTTTCTCGTCCAAAATTGTCAAAAATTTCCAGACCTGCCCCTCCCCCCTATTTTTTTGACGTAATTAATGGACAGCCCCTGATGATATTTTTATCAAGAAGTATATTTTTATTAGAAAAGCTATAATAACTTATTTAAAATTATGAAACTAAATGGTCCTCTTAAAGCAAAAGGTGATGGAACATTTGAAATGAAATAATGTTTTAAGCATTTGCTTGATAAAATTTCAGGAATAAATTGGTTTAGATTTCAAATTAGTATTTTAAACTATAAAAAATTTTTCATTAAAATGCTTTTCACTCAAAACAAAGTTTGGTGAAGGCACCAAAAATTAACCCAATAATTTAGTACTGTGGATTTTTTAATGGAAAATGAAAAGAAGTAACTTTTATATCTTCCAAAAAATTGTTTTACAACCCAGTTTTACAACCATATGCAACACACTTGTTAATTATGATGTTAAGCTTTTTTAACATTTATTAGTTTTCTAAAATAATAATAATTATATATATATATATATATATATATATATATATATATATATATATATATATATATATATATATATATATATATATATATATATATATATATATATATATATATATATATATATGTATATATATATATATATATATATATATATGTATATATATATATATATATATATATATATATATATATATGTATATATATACATAAGCGTATATAGATATTCCTACCTTTAAAGCTAACAGCTTTTTGAGAAAAAGAAGAAAAAATAAGAATAATGAAAGAAAAGATTGCTGCCCTATGTCGACCCTCAGTCGATAAAGGCGTACTCTTAAAACTCTTTATATAATAATATATTTAATAAATAACTCTATTTATAGCTATATATATATATATTTATACAGCCACACATGGCCATATAAGTATTAAGTTTTATGATTATTGGTTTAAGTGGATAGTTTTTGTTCACTTGGTTTAAATGGACAATATTTGTCCACTTAAACCAAGTTACAATAAGCATATTTTAGAGAAATTTACTCATTAAACTGTCAATTTTGATTTATTTTCTATTTTTTTGTTTTTACATAAATAGGCCTCATAAAATCAGCTTTTAAATTGTAACATGCACAACTTTGTAATTTAGTATCCCATGTTTCTTAAAATATGCTCATGCTTCTTTCACGTAAAATAATCACTACCATAATTAGATTATCTGTGTTAACATAAATATTCAGTAGTAAAAATTATATTTTTAATTTAATTTATTTAAGTTTTTTAATTTTTTTGTTTGCAGTGGAGAGCAGCAGCGTCGGTCTGCGATGAAAGATTCAAAATTTATTGTAAAAGTACTTTTTAACAATCAGGAGGTATCTAAAACATCTGTTCGCAGCTTATCCTCAGACTTTATTGTGTATTTTGGTGAGATATTAGCTATTAAAATACTTCAATGGCCAGAGAGCATAAAATTACAGGTTAAATAATTAAATTATATTGTTTTAAATTGTTTCAAGTGTCTCAAATTGTTAAAAGCACCTCATATAGTCATATCACCATCACAACATATTTACACCATATATAAATGCATTTTTTATAAAATTTCTTAAATGCATGGCAATAATAATAGCAACTTAGTATAAGTCTTAAGAAAAAAAAATTTTTAATAGAAAGTTATTTTTATTTAAGTTTAGTTGATGGAAAAAACTATTGATCTCTTGTTATAACTAGAAGAAGGATCTCTATTAAAACTAGAAGGAAAAATTTTTAAAATATTGCAATATATTATTTTTTAGATATATGAAGTTCCAGCAATGTTTCTTTTAGCAGAGTTGTTTGCTATTCTTCCAGAGATAGGAGCAATAAATTCACTATCTACATTAGAACAATTAGAATTTAGTAGTGATCAAGTAATACAGTTCACACATAATGGAGTGGGTAGTGGTAAGTCATTACATATATTATGGTGGAGGAAGTAATCACACATGGTGTAATACTGTAGTTGTTATTATAAATGTGACACATGATTTAGTTAATTTTTCTTTAAATTGTTACATAATACTACAAAGCTGTTTTATCTGTTTTATCTGAAGAAGTGTATTTTCTCTAAAATATGATTTTTTTTTCAACATGGCCTAAAAGAAATTGCCAAAATATTTTAATTTAACTTTTTATTACAAAAATGTATTGAAAAAAAAAGTATATTGAAAAAATATATATATAAATTGTATCTAAAAATTCTCTTTAAAACAAAGTTGAGAATCAAAAACTTTTTAGTTAAAAGTATGTAATAAAAAATTTAGATTAACCATAATATTTCAAAATATAGATGTAAATAATGCTTTCAGTTTAACCTTTTTTCTTTACAAATAGATACCAGTTCTTTGCTAAATTATTGAATTGCATTAAATAGGTTCTTTTTTTTTTAATGGAAAATTATATTAAATATTTATGTTACACCATATTGTAAAAAGGTAAAGTGGCTATTAATGTTACCTTCTATCAAATTAATGTTACCTTCTATCAAATTAATGTTACCTTCTATCAAATTAATGTAACCTTCTATCAAATTAATGTTACCTTCTATCAAATTAATGTAACCTTCTATCAAATTAATGTTACCTTCTATCAAATTAATGTTACCTTCTATCAAATTAATGTTACCTTCTATCAAATTAATGTTACCTTCTATCAAATTAATGTTACCTTCTATCAAATTAATGTTACCTTCTATCTAATTACTGGTCTGTTTTGTTCTATTATTGAACTTAAGTTTTTTCCAAAAAATTAATCATTCTCTGAATTCAGTTTTTCCTCACAATTTTCTCACAGTTTTCTCTGAATTCAGTTTTTCCTCACAATTCTTTATTTCCAGTTTTTTCAAACTCTTTCAATACTTCAGGCGCAACATTGTTTGCAAATATGTTCCCAACATTATTATTGCTGGAAAGTTTCATTTCATTAATATTAATCTTAATTCAAATCAATAACAATAAAACACATCAGAAAGAATGTTTCCATAAACAGTTTTGTAATCTTTTTTGCAAAAAATAAGTATAAAACTGGCCTTCTAGTTTGTTTAACTTCCTGAGAGTAAACTATATTTTGTATAGTATATATAAAGTTGGTTTATAATTAAACTTTTTTGTGTAACCTCCTAAATATTTTTAATGTCCTAATATAGTCAATTTGTGCTGAGTTAGATTCTTTGGTAATATTTAATATTTAATAATATCTAATATTGTTATATTTTTTAAGTTTGTAAAGGTTCTTTATTTACGTTTTATTTTAAGTTTATTTTTTTGTAATTCAAGTTATTTTTGATAATTTAAATAAATTTTACAATAAATATTCCCTTAAAATTTTTTTTTTTAAGTTTTATTTAAATATTGTAATTTTTGGAATTGTTAAATTGTTTTTATTACTTTATTTTTGTTAAATTGTTTTTATTACATTTATTCATTTTTATATGCGCCTTTATTCATTCTTATATGCGTTTTACAAAAGCAGTTGTAAAAAAGCAATTTGAACAAAAAAAAATCATTTAAGCAATTTGTTTTGAAAAAACAGTTTATTTTTTCAAAACAAATTTTTCTTATTTCCAGGTAAACGAGATTAAAAATACTTAAAGCAAAGACTTTTTACATTTGACGATGGTTTATTTAATTTAGTATTTGTTCTTTGTTTTCGATGATAGTTTATTTAATTTAGTATTAGTTCTTTGTAATTTTATTATTAAATTTCTTGATTGATTAAGTTATTATTTATCTAATTATTTATTTATCTAGATTTAAATTTAATTATTCATAATTATTAATAATACCAATACTTAATAGCTGTAATACTTAATAGCTATACCATGAGAGGCTAGTGTTTGCCTATAGAAAGACTCCAGTGGAATTTACAATTGTCCATAACAAGCACCGACGCTTCAACCTTTGCATTCCTAATTGCTGGTGCCATAATTGTAGTTATGAAAGTACAAAATAAATCTGCATTCCAGCCTCCAGTTTTTATTTCATAAGCAAGCACTCCCATTGTTGAAACAGCACAAATTAAACTAACATTCTTACCATGATTTGCAGGTGACTGTAAAATTGCTGACGTACCTCTTAGCAAACAACCATATGTGCTGTTAGTGTGCACATTAAATCCAGTTTTATCCAAATAAATAAGTTTTTCACCTGAAGTTCCGTTTATTTTGCTTGCAAATGCATAGCATGCATTATTAACTTGTGTTGAGTTTCGTTCTTTGGCACATGCACAACACGTTTTCTTGATAAATCTGAGCGTTTGAGTTTTCTTGAAATATTAGACTGAGACATGTTAAAGCCTGCTGCAGAATGATATTTTTTTATTGCTTCTTGTGTGCAAAGATTGTTTTCTTGTATGCATGATTCAATAATATTTTTTATTTGAGAGTTTATATGTCGTTTATCTTGTTTTTTATCAGAAAACGACTTGAATGCAGTCATGTCGTCGAATTATCCTCTGTTTAACTTAACGACAAAATTTTGAACTGCGTGCTTTGATAAATTAAGAGAAGTGGAAATGCTTGTTGTAGATTGATTTCTTTCAATTAAATGCTTAAGCATTTCAATGTGCTCTTTTGTAACATTTTTCCTTGTTTTACGATTGGTACTGCTATTTTCTATTTCATCCATAGGGATGTATAATTTGATATTAATAATAATTATAAATAATTAAATTTAAATCTAGATAAATAAGTAATTAGATAAATAATAACTTAATCAAGAAATTTAATAATAAAATCACAAAGAACTAATACTAAATTAAATAAACTATCATCGAAAACAAAGAACAAATACTAAATTAAATAAACCATCGTCGAATGTAAAAAGTCTTCGTTTTAAGTATTTTTAACCTCATTTACCTGGAAATAAGAAAAATTTGTTTTGAAAAAATAAACTGTTTTTTCAAAACAAATTGCTTAAATGATTTTTTTTTTGTTTAAATTGCTTTTTTACAACTGCTTTTGTAAAACGCATATAAGAATGAATTAATGCTCATATAAGAGTGAATAAATGCGCTTATAAAAATGAATAAATGCGCATATAAGAATGAATAAATGCGCATATAAGAGTGAATAAATGCGCATATAAAAATGAATAAATGAACATATAAGAATGAATAAAGGCGCATATTGAAATGAATAGACGCGCATATAAGAATGAATAACCCTGTAAAATTATGGCTGGGAAAAAAAACTCTGATTATGCAGTCTGTAAACTATGTTTTAGTGATTTGAAATAAACTATGTTTTAGTGATTTGAAATAAACTATGTTTTAGTGATTTGAAATAAACTATGTTTTAGTGATTTGAAATAAACTATGTTTTAGTGATTTGAAATAAACTATGTTTTAGTGATTTGAAATAAACTATGTTTTAGTGATTTGAAATAAACTATGTTTTAGTGATTTGAAATAAACTATGTTTTAGTGATTTGAAATAAACTATGTTTTAGTGATTTGAAATAAACTATGTTTTAGTGATTTGAAATAAACTATGTTTTAGTGATTTGAAATAAACTATGTTTTAGTGATTTGAAATAAACTATGTTTTAGTGATTTGAAATAAACTATGTTTTAGTGATTTGAAATAAACTATGTTTTAGTGATTTGAAATAAACTATGTTTTAGTGATTTGAAATAAAGTTTAGTTGGTTTTTAAGCACTTAGTCAGCATTCTACAAAACCTAACATAAATTAGTTTCTGATATTTTCAAAAACAGCTCATTATTTATATGTAAAATCAAATAAATACTTTGGGGAAGAGAAAGTAGTACAATTAGAGTACTCTCAAGCTCTTAATACAGGGGGGGGGGGATTTTAGTCCAGATCTAATAAACAGAAGGGAGGGTTAATAAAAGTGTTGGAGGGGGGGATTTTTTTATGTTACAATATAAGTATTTTTTATAAAAAAGTTTAGTTTATAAATCCTAACTAATATTTTTTACAAAACACACTTAAAACTATTTAATTCAAGCATGCTTGCAGTCAAATGCGCATCACGGTTGTTCAGACTTACTAAATAAGTGGAAAGTTATTATACGCAAGCACAGTAAAGTTGGCATATTTCAAGAATTTTAAAAATGGCTACAGATACCAAATATAAAAAAATTCTCATTGATAATGAGATATTTTTTCTAATTTTTAGCCATTAAATATGCATTTAGCCGTTTATTAAAAGGAAATTATAATAATAGTAACTTCTAGTACATGATAAAATGTTTCAAATAAAATATGAAATCTCTAAAAATGAATAAAATGTAATTACAGCAATCGCTACTTTAGTGTGTTTTACAATTTTATACTAATTTATTATATTTTACTTTTTCAGATAGATAAACGGTTTATCTTTTTTAGATTTTTAGAATGTTTACTAATATTAGTATTCAATTTTTTTTCAAGATTAAAAGATATTTTTTTAACATTAACTTTTTGTAAGCTGTTGCTAGGCTACTCTATAGTCACATATATATATATATATATATATATATATATATATATATATATATATATATATATATATATATATATATATATATATATATATATATACATATATATATATATATTTTTCATAATAAAATACCTTATAATATTTTTTTAGTATTCTAATGAGCAAAGTTTGATCAAAATGAGGGAGTTAATTTTATATAGTCATAACTTTCAGACACTAAAATACAATTAAATTTAATTGAAAAACTGTAGATATATTTAATATAAGATAAAGAAACTAAGCATTTTATCAAGTCATGGCAATCATCATGTATGGGTAAAGGCAGTTTGTTTGTAGCTTGTAGGGGTATTTTTGTTCACAATTCATGAAATTTTTTGCGGTTTGGTAAGACTTTTTTGGGGGTTGATAAGACTTATTAGTAGTAGGAAAGGCATATCATTGAGGAGAAGATATAAAATCCCAACTTTGATGTAGTATGGGTATGAGGAGATCGTGAATCTTGGCTTAAATATTTCTAGTGATAGTGCTATGATAAAAATACTCAGCCCTTAGTTTAAAACAATATTTACAACTTTATGCCTTGTTACAATTGGCGCAACAGCAGAAGATGTCAAAAAAATGCTTAAAGATATACATCATAATGAAAGATTTAATTTAACTTCCAATTGATTCACAGGTATTAAAAGATTTGGCTTGTTTGCTTGACAAGGAATATGGAAAAACCAAGTATCTATATCTCAGTAAAATTGTTAAGAGTTGTTTAACTATTCAGAATGGAAACACTAGTGAAGAGCGAAGTTTATCAGATAATAAAATACATTGACTTCAGAGCAAGTTAAACTAAATGATGAAACATTAATGGCTCTTAGAAATCAAAGTAATACGCAAGAAGTTGCAATGCAGCATATAATTTTGTTTCTCTCTCTAAAAACGTTGTTCAAGCAGTGCAAAATTTTCACAGAATATATAAAAAAAGAAAAGCTGAGGAAGAAGAAGAAAAAAGAATAAATTATATTCATAAGCAAGAACTTATTGACAAAGAAAAACAACACATGGATATGCTTTAAAAAGTTTAAAAAAAAACAACAAAAACCTAGATCGAAGGGAAAGAGTCTTAAAAATGATGAGAAAAATGCAGATCTAGAGTTTCAGCTTGCTTAGAGAATGCTGGATGAAGCAACCAAGTCTATTCAAAGTGCCATCAATAAAGAAGATGATAGAAATAAAAATTGCCCATGAAATGGTGCAAGAAAAAATCTTGAAAATGCTAATGCGCATAGAAATGACGTGAAAAAGTGAAATGGATAGTTTAATTAATTGTTTCAAAAAATCAAAGTAGTATTGTAAAAAAAGTTAGTGTGAACTTCCTGTTTAATTATTTTGAACCTTATTTGGTGTTGCAAATTATTTGGTGTTTTCTCTATTCTGTTAATTTATTGATGACTTCTAATTTATTTTGTTTTTAAAAATAGTTGTTAAACTTTTCATTTTTTCAATAAAATTTGTCATTTTATGTTATTTTTGCCAATTTCCCCCTCAAAATACCGTCATTTTTTTTTTCATTTTTTTATGAAGTTGTTGCTTGACAGCCTTTAAATATTACTTTGGTTGGTGTGTCTATTTTACGAATTTTAAAAACATCTATTCTTTAATTTTCTTTTGCATATTTTATTGTTATTTTGATGCCAATGGTTCATTAATTAAATATTAATTTTATAAATAATAATATTACATATTATATGTTGTAGGTGTACCATGTCAACTAGGAGAAAATACTGTTATTCCTCTTACATCTGGTATACTTTATACTTCTGCAAATTGGGGTTTAGATGAGAATGGGCTAAGCATGGCACCACCTGTGAGTGCTACCAATAGGTAAGCCATAAATTTTTTTGAAACTAATAATGGATTCATTTATTATTTCCCTTAATCAGTTTTAATTTTAAAAGCTTTAATTTATTATATACTTTTAATATTTTGACAAGTTAAAATCACATGATTTTTAAAAGTGCTTGATATTTTTTTAGAAATGTCAATTTTGCAGCTATTAATAAAGCTGGGAAAATAGATCTTCAAAAATTGTTGTCCTGGATAAGTAAGTTTTAGCTTTTCTGGTTGTTTTTTTATGTCAATAGATTATCTTATATATATAAATCATTTTTCTTTTTCCTTGTTATGTTGATGTTACATAGTGTAGTGTTATTATTGGTATTACTTAATCTAGAACATTTTATTGCAGGCAATGCTAAACTTGATCCTAATGATCCTACTAATGCAGAAATTCTAAGTCTTGCCAAGGTTTTCGTTATGGTTTTTTATTTAAATAAAAAATAGTTTTAAGCCTATATTTATATAAATAAACTATGTAAATAAAAGATGTAAATATGTTTCAATTAGTTTTGATTAAAAAGTGTATACTTGTATTGTTTACAAAATCTTTTTATTCTAGATGGCTCGTGTTTCACAGTTTGACAATATAACTGGTCCCCAATATTTTCGCTTAAATCAGCTAGAAAAGGAGACTGAGATTGTTAGTAAAAAGGATATTGATAATAATAAACGTTTTACTTTGATTAAACTACGAGATGAAGGAGTGCCAGAGCTTAAGCACTACCAAATGATACCACCATATGAATCACTTGTTCCTGAAGATGTTTTTGAAGTAGTTGATAATATATATTTATATTCATTCTAAATTTGCATTTTGCATTTGTATGCATTTTATTTTATTTGCAATTTTAACTTTAGTCTTATTTTGTTACTTTAATTTTATTTTATTCATTCCAATTAAAAATTGTAAATAGGAGTATGAAAATAGAATTAATATGGTTAATGAAGATGACAATGAAGAGTATAATCAAAGAAAAGCAGTCTCAATGTTTCTTGCTAAGGTTTTTTTTTTTAAGTTTACAATATTTTTTAGAAATTTTTACAAAATATTTTTTTCTTTGCTTTGAATTATATAATGTGTTATTTACTTTTTTATATTCATTTAGTTTTTTATATTTATTTAATTTTTTATATTCATTTAATTTTTTATATTCATTTAATTACCATAATATATTTATTTAATAACCATAGAATAAAACCTTACAGTAATTTCCTGTGACACTCAAAAGCCAATCAAAGGATAGATTAAAACAAAGGAGAGATACTTAAAACAAATGGAAAAAAAATAGCAAACAGAAGATTAATAAGCATTGAACAAAATTGCATTTGACATAACTCGCAGCAAATTGCCTTTGACATAACTTGTAGCAAATTGCATTTGACATAACTTGTAGCATTTCCTTACATAAACAATTAATGCAAATAAGTGCATTTATACATTTATTATTTAAATATTACGCTTAAAAAAATTTTTATTCATGTCTTTATAAGAAAATTAGTTACTTTACCTTTATTTACTTAAAGTAATATAAATAACTCTTTTAAGTTATTTATATTACAGCCCTCAGAATTAGGGTCGACAAAAAATTTAACAGCTCAGCCTCATGCTGCCTTTTTTATTCTCATATACAAAACCAGAAGTACTAGAATATCTCTCTGTAAAATCATTGATGGTTTAGTAACACGACAAAAAGTATTCAAAACTTTAGAACTCTTAAACCAAAAATCGTAAAAAGGATATACAGATAAAGCTATTACTTTCTCTTTAATTTGCATTAAAAAGTAAAGCTTTTCATTTTTGAATTTAAGTAAATGAAGCTGCAAAGTAATTTACCGAGCTTCTGAACACTACTAGCTGGCTGGACCTGTAAAAATGCAGGTCTTTGTAACTCTATTTCACATCGACCTTATCTACACTTTTTCCTTATATATATCCTAGTTTTTCAAACCCATAAAATGCAGATCTTAACCGAACCTACTATTTCTAAACTTATCTATTCCATAGCGATTATTTCTATAACTATTCTTTATTTACTTCAATATTTTTAGTAAAATAATTCATTTTAAAAAACTGCTTTAAGAACAAAAAAATTAATATGTGCACTTTTTTGGCATATGTATAGCTTATAAGAGATTTATAATTAGGTTTGTTTTTTTCCTAAACGCATATCATTGATAGCTAAGTGGTTTAGTGCACTGTCATCAGAGTTTTGGGCGTTTCAAACCCCATCTCCCCCTCCCTCTTCCCCGCCTTATCGTAATATATTTTTAATTTTTTTCAATCTTGCTTATACATTTATAGCAAATATATATATATATATATATATATATATATATATATATATATATATATATATATATATATATATATATATATATATATATATATATATATATAGCAAATTAGATTTCTAATTGTTAAAATAAAATTTAAAATTTTTCTCTTTATAGGTTTATTAAACACGATTGTTCCATATACTGCCTGCAAACTCAATATATGATTAAGATGTTTACACTTACAGATGTTTGTAGGTAACGCTAAACAAATGGCAGAACTAAGAAAATTTTAAACCATTAAAAAGTCCATGGCCATAGCTATAAAACCCTAATCTACAAGTTAAACCAAAAATATTTTGTGCAGTGACATCAGTTTGTGACAAAAAAAATTTATACATCAAGTTTGCTTTTGTATTTATTTAACATTTTTTGATTCATTTTAATTTAAAATTGTATTATGCATTAAATCGCACAAAAAGATATAAAACTGGTACAGATAAATCATTTCACGGATAAGAGTTTGTATTTATTACAATGTAATAAATAAGTAGTTTTAAAGAAATAACATAGTAATTACTATATTTAGGCTTTATTAGAATATATTCTATAAAAATATATTCTATATATTTTTAATAAAAGGAATTTTCCTGAAAAATTAAATTAAAATCTTATTTCTAGTTTTTCTAGTTTTTTGTCACAAAGTAATGTAAACAATTTTGACTCCAATGATTTAATAAAAAGCTGCATCATATTTAATGGTAAAGAAGAAGATTGCAAAATTTTAGCTGATAAATATTATCAAGAGAGGCAAATCTAAAATCAAAGTTTCAAATTTTTTACTTGGATAAGACAATATGTTTTGTGTTTTTTCAGCCTTGTCAATGTTTTTAAATACAATAACAAAAAAAAAAGTTAAATACAAAGTAGCTTAAGCAAAAAAGACTTGAAACTATTAGAAAAGTTTTCTTATGTTACAAACGTTCCTGTATAAAACATTATATAAGTGAATTTTTTAAATTTGCATATAACATACGTGTTTATATATATATATATATATATATATATATATATATATATATATATATATATATATATATATATATATATATATATATATATTATATATATATATATATATATATATATTATATATATATATATATATATATTATATATATATATATATATATGTATATGTATATATATATATATATATATATATATATATATATATATATATATATATATATATATATATATATATATATATATATATATATATATATATAAATATATATATATGTATATATATATATATATATATATATATATATATATATATATATTGTTTATGTATAAGTGCAACTTTATTTCTATGCAATAAAAGTGCGCATATTTAGAGAACCTGCTTAAAAAGAGTTGATTAATTGCAATCGATATAAGAGTTTATAAAATGGTTTGTTTTTTAATTACATGTATAAATTCTATAGATCAGTGCTTTAATGCTTTGTTATCGGTGCTGCTTTGTGTGGGTTTAAATCTGCCTCTTACCACAATTAGTTTTCAATTTGTTCAATCCGGCCATATATATATTTATAGCAAAAAAATAAGTATAGCAAAAAAAAAAAGACTTTTAATTGCTTTTAATTTTTTTTTCTAGCCTACAGTCTTTACTTTTTTTTGATTTTGTTTTTGCCTCCTGCATCAGCACCTTCTGAAGTAGCAGGACTGTCTTATTAAATTTTTTCTTTATTAAGTTTCAGATCCTAATTTTTTTTTTCAGACTATCCGCAGCTTATTAGGACTAATTAGGTGAGCACATTAATAACATTAGTATCTCAATCAAGGCACATATGTAACTAATCTCCCCCCGTTTTTTTAATGTTTTTAAATATTTTAACTTTTTTAAAAATCTTTCCGTTTGTTAAAGTGTATAATATTGTTACATATGTTTGTATATAATCTCTATAAAACTTTATAAGTATTTTGTACTTTAAAATAATCAAAAAAAAATTAAAAAAAGAAAAGTGGCCAGTGGTAGGACTTGAACCACTGCTTTTTTGTTCAGAAGCTCTGATTGCTAACCACTAGGCCACGCTGGCACATTGATTTACAAATGTTTAAAAACTATATAATAATTTTTTAGCGGAAATAAATGCTGTAGATCAAAATAAAGAAGATCTTGCTGCAATGCAATATTCAAGTGAAAGTAAAACTGTAAAACTTGATAAATGTTTTAGTATGTTTTAACATTGCATAATTTTAAGTTAACATAAAATATTTACCGACACTTTTGTTCACATTATCTTATAAAAAATAAAATGATGTGACTCTTTCTTGCCATTACCTCAGTTACAATGGTTACAAAGGGTTCTGTGTCAAACACACTCGAATAGGCACTAACACTACTACTAACATTATTAAGTTCAGAAATAATATATAGAGATTAAGTTGATGAAATTTTAAATTCTTGCAAGTTTATAAGAGTGAACCTTGACATCAGAACTCTGTGAAAGCCTTGGAATATTTTTCCGGGGCTTTCACATTTTTGTGAAATTCTGTGAAAGCCCAGGGAATATTTTTCCGGGGCTTTCACATTTTTGTGAAATTCTGTGAAAGCCCAGGGAATATTTTTCCGGGGCTTTCACATTTTTGTGAAATTCTGTGAAAGCCCAGGGAATATTTTTCCGGGGCTTTCACATTTTTGTGAAATTCTGTGAAAGCCCAGGAAATATTTCGTGGCTTTCACATTTTTGTGAAATTCTGTGAAAGCCCAGGGAATATTTTTCCGGGGCTTTCACATTTTTGTGAAATTCTGTGAAAGCCCAGGGAATATTTTTCCGGGGCTTTCACATTTTTGTGAAATTCTGTGAAAGGGAATATATCTGGAGAACCAAACAACTTTTTTTATTTTGTAACTTTACAGGCTTTAGACTAAATTATAAAAACTATCTGAGGAATAAAGAAATATTCAACATAAATCTGGTTATTTTATGACATTTTTAATTTTTGCATTAATATTAAATCTCATATTCAAGTGAATAAAGTTGTGAAGTAGGTTGCCTAGCTTCTGGACAATAGTTTTCATCAACTTATTGATATTAGGGGTGTACCAGAATTCCGTTCCAGCCGGAATTTGTGACTTTTAAGGTCAATCTAGAAGTCAAAAGGTTTCTAGAAGTTTAGGAATATTGTGGTGCAAAATCAGTTGCTATACAGTTTTGAGCTCTTTTATCATCAAAAATGTTACCTGCCTTTGAGAATAGTCTCATTTTAAATGTTACTTAAATCTTAAATAAATAAAAAGTATAGGATCCATAATACTGTAAATATTTTAACTTTAACCTAAATGGAATAATAGAAAAAAATAAGAAATGATTTTAAATATAAATATTATGCAGGTTAAAAATTTCAATAAATAAAATTATAAGAAACAAATAAAAACAACATATTAGATTTAAATAAAGCAAGAATCAAATTAATGAAATAAGTTATATATATGTATATATATATATATATACATATATATATATATATATATATATATATATATATATATATATATATATATATATATATATATATATATATATATATATATATACATATATATATATATATATTATAGGTTATAAATATATTATGTAGCCACGATGTTGAGGTGCAAGCTTTCATTTTCAATTTTAAAGGTAAAAAATACATAAATACAGTTCTTGTTCCAGCTGGAATTCAAAATTTCCAATCTGGTACACCCCTAATGATAATTATTGTCTAGAAGGTGCGAAGTAGGTTTCTTGGCAACCTACTTTGCAATTTCATTCATTTAAAATCAAAAATGAAAAGTTTTACTTTTTTAACAAAAATAGTATAACCTAATGTTTGTTTGTGATGTTTGTTATATGTTTCAATTTTTCCAGTTCCATTTCAATATCTTTAATAACCATTGGATTATAAAAATTTATTATCTTCATTAAAATCACTTCCTCAGTCGATTTAAATTAACCACATTTGTAAACATAAGTTTTTTTGATTCAGTTAATGGCTCTTTGAGAAGTTCATCAGACATTTGAATTTCAATTTCCTTTTGAAGATCAATATTCAAGCCTTCTCTTATCTGTCTTTTCCATATAAAGAGTGATAATCTATAAAAAATATATATATACCCCCCCCCCTCCCTCAATATAATTATATTTCTTTGTAATAAAGATTTTATAAAATAGAAAATAGAAAGCAAAAAAAAGACAAGGTTATTCTAATTTCACAATGGTCTCATTATTTAAAAATTTTGATTTAAAATTACTTTCGCTCAACAAATGATTACTTTATTTAGGTGAGAGAACAAGTTTATAATAGGTCTCAAATAGCAAAACGTCAATTAAGTCTAGAAGATGTGGTTGTTGAGGAAGCAATACCGGATATTGGGTATCTGTTTGAAATATTAAGTTTATGAAAATTACATTAGTTTAAATTGCTTTAAATGTTTTTTGACTTTAGGTCATTGGGCGCTCGAATTAAAAAAATGACAGAAACTCGTCGTCCTTTACTTCCTGTTAGAAAAGAACGTAAAAAAATTGGAGGTCAGGTAAATGCGAAAGTTTATTTTCAAATGCTAAATTTTAATGAAAATTATTTTAATTTGTTTTTGATTTTAAAAGAATCTTGCCATTGGAAGTAATGTTAAAGTACTAATAAACATTGTGAGAGCTTTCAACATACCAATACGTGTTGAATCTTCAACTAATCAATTGGAGGGTCATATCACTGAAATTGGTAGCCCAGTTCGAAATTCTGGATACAATCCAGCTACAACAGAAATCAAGGTCTTTTTTGGCGTTGATAAAATAAACATTAATAGACTTTTGAATATGTGCATTGTGTATTTTATTTCTTTTTGTAATATAGTCTCTTGTGCGACCTTTTGTTGAAGTTATGTTCCAAGGAGTATTTTTGCGCACCAGTGTTGGTGAAGGCGCATGGCCCAACTGGAATGAAGATTTAATATTACCATTCAAGTATATTGATTTATTATTTTAAATCAATAAGTTTTTAACTTCCTTTTTTCAATATTCTTTTATAAAAAGCAATAATTTAATTTATAACAATAATTTTTTAACATTTTTTGATTTTTATAATTATAATAAAATACGAAAATTTATTAATTTACAAGTAAGGAATACAAATGATTAAATTTAATGAACAGAATGTTTTAAACTATAACTTTTATCCTTTAGACCACCAAATAATGATTATTCTTCAGATTCTCTTCATTTGGTAAAAGATAAAATTTTCATTAACTTATTTGATGAAGTCATGATAGACCTTCTACTTGTAAGTTCACTGTATTAAAAATATTCATTAACTTATTTGATGAAGTCATGATAGACCTTCTACTTGTAAGTTCACTGTATTAAAAATATTCATTAACTTATTTGATGAAGTCATGATAGACCTTCTACTTGTAAGTTCACTGTATTAAAAATATTCATTAACTTATTTGATGAAGTCATGATAGACCTTCTACTTGTAAGTTCACTGTATTAAAAATGAGTAGTTTTTATCTTATTAAATATATTTGTTCTGATTTGGTATTTTAAAATAGTATGTAACCTTTTATTTTAAAACTATTTCAATAAAAAAATTATGAAACAAAGTATATAATGAAAACTGATAAACACTTGATAAAGGGTAAGTAAGTTTATAACTATGAGGCATGGGAATCATTTCTCTATCATTGAATATGTCTGATTATATATTTAGTTAAATCATAAATATATAATCAGACATATATAATGAAACAAATTACTTGTACTATCTTGGGCTACTAAAAAAGTTATCTAGGGATCCAAAAACTTGAATCCAGATTTTTGTTTTCCTTATTGAGCTTTATTAAATGTTTGTTTTGTGTAATATTGAATACAGAACTTAAAATATATATTAAATGAGCTCAGTGTAGGCGATTTTAAAGTATTACAGCGTCTGTTAAAAAACCCAGACTGAAGATTTTTTTTTTTTTTAAATTTATCAATATGATCTGTTCTGATTGTTTAATATTATGATCTGTTCTGATTGTTTATTTTTTTTGTCTGAATTCTTGAACTTTGTGTGAAATTTGATGTTGTATTTTAATTAATATGCACCATAACAGATTAGAACTGCTGTGGTGCAGTGGTTAGAGCGCTTGATTTATAAGCTGGAGATCCAGGTTTGAAACAAGCTTTGGACATATTTTGCGTCACGATAAGGAAGGAGGGGTGAACTTTCTTTAGGTTCATTATTATAGGTAGTATAAAAATTTTGAAAATTATATTAAAAAGAGAAAACTTTAAACATGAAAACCTGAAGCAAATAGAATAGCAAATGCAGAAATGATAAAAATATATAAAAAAATAAAATTTCAATATTTTTTTTAGCATTCACAGACATGCAGTATAATGCAATATCAAGGAATTTAAGTTCAGATCTAATAAACTGGGGAGGGGGGATTTTTTATGTTACAATACAGGTATTTTTTATAAAAAGTTTCAGTTTATAAATCCAAACTAATATTTTTTACATACACTCTTATTCTTACATACATAAAACTATATGGCTTGCGGTCAAATGTGCATTTTCTAACAGCAGTTTTTATAATAATTTCAATAGGATTTAACATGTTTTCAATAAATTGAGATTACTTGTTTGGGATTTTTAAAGCCTGTTTACACTGAAAAAAAAATTTTTATTAGTGACTGAAATAATTATTTTCTAATTTTTAAGGTCAATTTTTTTTTTTTTTTTTTTTTTTTTTTTTTTTTTTTTTTTTTTTTTTTTTTTTTTTTTTTTTTGATAGCAAGTTAAAATTAATAAACAGAGTGGTCTCAATAAGTTTGGGTTGGGTGGGAAAATTGTCAAAAAGGTTATAAACATCCCCCTCCCCCTTTTATTAGGGACTCGAGAGTAAGACACAAACAATTTTGACAATCTAGCAACTCAGGATGTTTTTTGTGAATTACTTTTTGCATGGCTCAATACATTGTTGGTTGTTTCTCCAGCTTCTTTATTAGTCAATCCAGTAGGAGAAATCCAGTTTTTAATAGTTCCTTGACCATGGCAAAGAATTTTGTAAAGTTTTGTAAAAATTGGATACCAAGAGATGTGATAAACTACATTATTTTATTTTTTTTACAGAGATATCCAAACTTTCAGCATCAAGGGCATAACCAGGAGCTAGAGTTCCCCGAAGTGAAAATGTTTTTGACTAGCTAAAGCGCAACTTGACTAATCTCAGTGTCTCTAAATATTAAAAACAGTTATTTTAACTCAAAAAGAAATATCCCAATTAAATTCTTTTAATTAATTTTCTTAATAAGTTACCTGGGTTTAAAAAGACTGTGCAGACAACATTTTCAGTGGTTGTTGTGCCTGTTCCTCCATATTGACGTTGTTCCACAATCCTATTTTTGTCAAAACTCTTCTTCAAACAATTCTTTTTTGCTCATTTGTTGATTTTTCTTTGCAATTGACAGGCGCATATAAGATTTTTTAATGTCTTGTACCTAATGTGAAGAATAGACTCAAAATTCTAAAGTGAGAAATGCATTTTATTTCAAACTTTTAGGTGTGGAGTCACCAGATGAGTAATTTCCCAATAATTTTAATATCGAATTGAACAAGAAGCAGCATAGTGATTTCCATTCAAAACATATAAAACTTTACCATCCAGCATTATGAAGAGTGGTTTGAAGTTGATGGTTACCTTAAAAAAAATATATTTTTTTTTATGTACATTTTTTTTCTTGTTTCAGAAATACACATTAAAACTTGCATATTTTTCCACAATTTGTCTGAATAAGTAGGTGCTTCCATCTGGAGTATGACCTGTCTTTACTTTTTGCATGAACATGGAAAAGGATCCACATCCTTCAAGACTGAATTCATAGTAAAAATCAATTTTAAGATCCTTTTTGACTTTTCTTGCTAGTTTCTCAACCATTTCTTGTTAGTTTCTCAACCATTTCTTAAACTTCTTTAAGCAAAATCATGAACTAACTACTTTTTTTTACCAAATTCATGACTTATATACCTTTAAGCAGACTTACATACCTTTAAGCAGTGTGAGATGGTTCAAGGAGGTTTTTCAATGGGACCAACACACAAAGTGCAGTACTTTAAATTCTTTCTGGTCTACATTGATACTTGGCAGCAAGCACTGGTACATAATTAAAGATAAATAAAATAATAATTAAAGATAAATAAATAAAATGTGTGAAATATAAAATATGTGAATAATTAAAAAATATATGTGAATAATTAGTATAAAATATGTGAATAATTAGTATAAAATGATTAATTAACTAGGATTGAAAAATTATTCATGGCAAATAAAATAAATAACTATAAAATTTCAATAATTTGATTACCAGATTGTAATCTGGCCAGATGTTGGTATTTGAGCTTGAGCATTCAAGCATTCATCTTTATTTACAAAGATGATTGCAAAGGTGTTTTCTTCAATATTAGAAGCTCTGGCCCCGACATTGCCTTGTCAGTTGAAGATTCAGACTGACTTCTTACTTACGGAATAACCTTTTTAGCTTCCTGCTGGAAGGCTGCATTTGTAATGGATTCTGGTTCATGGTTGATGGTACTTGCCAACTGTTCTCCATGAAGAGACTTTTGAATAAATTTTGTGGATGGTCTTCCAGGTTTTGCCAATTTTTGTGTATTTGTTGATTGAAGACTATTAAAAAAATTTTAGTTTAGTTGTTGATAAAGGACCTTTAAAAGTATTTATGCGATATAAAAGTACATTTTGTGTTTAAATAATAAAAAATATAATAATAGAATGACAAAGTTCTTTTCAAAAAGGCCTCCTGGTTCAGTGAGTTTCATCAATTGTGAGAAGCTTTTACATTCTTTAAGCAAATTAACCAGGATAATGTTGAGCTTATCAGTGGGTTCCTAATTTGTCCGATTTTCAACATTATTTTTTGTCAAGCCTTTGGTCAACTTTGACAAAATAAAGTCTTACAAAACTCTTAATGGAAATAACAAAAGTTATTTCCACTTAATGGTTATAACAAAAGTTATTTTGTTATTAAGTGAACTCCGCTTTGCTTCATGGCTGTATAGAGTTGTATAGTTTAGACACTTTAATATCCTGTACAAAAGAAATATATTTCTAAATAAAAAAAGGTCACACAGTTACTATTTCAATTTTAATGTTGTCGAAAGTAAAATTCTTATATCAAGAAGTTTTAAGCAGAAACTCTACAAAAATTATATAAAAAATAATTAAATTTTTGTTAAATATTCTCTATTTTTGTTTAGATTCTTTTTTTCTGCCAAATTTTCTGCTTATTTTTATTTTAAAATTGCTCAAATAATTAAGTTATGACATAAGCATGAAAACAAAAAATTACTGTGGTAATTAATAAGTTACTGGCATTTTTAAAATATTTAAAAAATTACTGTGGTAATTAATAATAAGTAACTGGCATTTTTAAAATATTTAAAACTTTTTAAATAAATTTAAAAAGAGTTATTGTCTTAAGTATTCTTTTAATCTTTTAATTTTAGTTAAAAAATGAAATGTGGGAAAGTAGAGTAACTAATTCTCTTTACTTTCTCTTTCAAAAAACTAGAAATTTTTTGTGGCTTCACCAAACGTCTGATAAAGATATTTTCTCAAAAAAAAAAAAAAGGTAGTCAATTTTTGAATTAGGCTGTTAGTTTTTTTTTAGTTTTTTATTTTTATGTGGTTGTTAAGCTCCCAGAAGTCTTTATGGTCTTATCATAGAGCACCCCAGTAGAGCATTTATGGTGTTATCACAGAACACCCCAGTAGAGTATTTATGGTCTTATCACAGAGCACCCCAGTAGAAGTATTTAACTAGAAAGTTCACTCTTTCTTCCTTACCAATGTCACTTATTGGGCTAGAATGGGCATTGAACTGTTGACCTCTTATTTCTAAGCCAGAACTCTAACCACTGTGCCACAGCTGCATTAAAAAAGTTTTGAAACGGCTGTTTTGATTTTCTATTTTGCTAAAGCAATTGCGCCTTTTTTGATATTTACTTTTTTTAAAGTTTATTTTTGAAAATTAATAATTTACAAAAATTTTAAAATATGATTTATAAAAATTGTGCAATTTTCATAAATCTTATTTTAAAATCTATTTAATACTTTTTCAATCACAACAAGAAGCCAATTTGTACGACAACATGCATTTAAATTAATACTTTCCTACATTATTCTAAATGTCAAGGAATATTCCAATCTATTGTTTCTTATTTTCTATGTTGTATTAACCAAAATCAAATGGATCTTATTTGTTATCACTAAAATTAATAAATGAATGTCCTTAAGCATATTCACCCCAATGTGCATATATGCCCCTGTAATGAAGAAATCGATTTTGATGATTGATTAAAAAATTTGAACATAGTCTTTGACATATTAAACTGGATTTCAACACACTGGATTATCTTAATGTAGTTGCTTTACTGTAGTAAAGTTAAAATTAAGAAATAACAAGTATATAATGAAAATTGTTTTTAATATATTCACTTAAAAGTTAAATTGAATTAATTTAAAATTTTTTCAAGTTAATTTAATTTTTAAATCTCAATTTTTTTTAAAGTTTTTTTTTTTTTTTTTTGTTATTTTATTTTTTTGTTTGTTTTTATTTTGTAAAATTTAACCTTTTTTCCCCTAAATTTAAAATAAGGATTTTTTGTTTTAAAAATAGGATCAACGTGAGCGAGAAACAAATATTCATCAGAGAGTTGAAAAACGTTGGTTGGGTAGTGTTGAAGTACCATTTTCTACTGTTTACTTTAATTCAAAAGTATTTTATTTCTCCGCTGTTTACTTTAATTTAAATTTTGGAAATAAATTAGGATTTGCATTTAGATTTTTATTTTTTATTGATTTAATAGGTAGATGGTTTTATTGAGATAAATACACCGCCTATCTTGCTTGGATATAGGTGCGATTATGACAAAAATAAAGAAAGCCAATTGATTAAACATAAAACACTTATTCAATTATTTATTACAATTGAACCTCAGCTGCAGCCTGCTCCGAATCTCCCAGAAAAATTTGAAACTAATGAAGATGATATGCTTGTTCATAACAGCCAGATTTGGTTAGCAGAACTGAGAAATAAGTTTCCAAGACGCAATTACAAAGCAATGGTCACTGACATAGTTGGAAAGAAAGTTTTTTTGTCTAGATTTATTCGTCGTCAGAAACCCCCTGATGAACTGATGTTAGATGAAAGTGTTCCAATATCTCAAAAAATTAAGTTATTATCAAGATTTGTCTCACTTATTCCGTTTATTTCTGATTCGGTTCAGTTCCCTGATATTTGTGATATATGGACAACTTCAGATGTAAATTTTTATTAAAAGTTATATACATTTATCTATATTTATGACCTTTAACCCTGCATATTACATGTTTTCATCATCTCCTTTATTTAATACAGACATTATGTGTTGTCATCACTTTTTTTTGTTGCTGTTCCTGCATGTGGTTTCAAATACATTTACAAGTTAAAGTATTTTTATTTATTTAATTGTCTATTAAATAAATAAAAAGGATTTTTTATTTTTGGCAGCAATTTTTGCAAATGTTATCTGGTGATGAAGAAGAGCATGCAGTCCTGCTATGCAATTATTTTCTTTGGCTAGGTCTGCGAGCTTATTTGGTGCTAGGAAGCGGGGTTCCAGAAGGTTTGTTATATATTTTTAATGTCATAGATACTTTTGTGACTGTAATAAACTATTTCTCTGAACATATCATTTAATTGAAGGTTCAACAGCGTATGTTTTGTGTGAAGAAATGAATACTTTTTGTTTATGGAATGCTAGTACTGGAGAAAGTTATGAATTACAGAACACATATTGCCCTTTGATTTCTATTGGAACTCTTGTAGATGATAGAAATGTAGGTTTGTTTTTTCAGCAATTCTTTAGATTGTGTTTAATAGAAATTTTTATAAACTGTTAATTTTTATCAATTTTTTTTATTTTTCTTATGATCAGTACTTAAAGAAGTAATTTTTGTGCTTTGTTCATAATTATTAGTTTTTATTTAATTGAAAGAGTTTTTTCGTATAAATATTTTCAGATATTCAAAAAATTAAATATGAAAATAAATATTTTCAGATATTCGCTAATATTCAAAATGAGGAGCATCCATCAAAACTTAACTTTGAAATAACAAACCAGAAATATTGGCGTCCATTTTTTAGCAAAACTTTTCCTTACCCTGGTTTAGGGTCTGTTCAAGAAGAAATGCTAGTTTATCATCCAATAGATCAACAATATGCTCTTGACCTTTCAGATAAGTAAGTTATTTTAACAGGTTGGAATCTGGTAGGTAACTAATCTTTTGTCACCTTTTTTTTTATTATTATTTGCCATCTTTTGAAGAATGTTCTGTTTTTTATGTTTATTCTAATATATTTGACCAGTTATGTTTTATTTTACCCATATACCAATTATTTTTCAGTAACTTTTGTGACTTATATATATCGCATTATTGATCATGATCCCCTGTATCTACCACTACCAAGCCACTACCAAAATATACTTTTTTTTCAGATCATATTTGCTCATTTTGGGATTTGTTGTACATACTAATCTAAGAATATCCTGAAAATTCCAAAACAATTGGAGTAGGGGCAAATTTGGGAAATGGTTTTGAAGTTTTTAAATATTTTCTTGTTTTCAATTGTTTATTTTTATGTCATTCTTAATATTTATATACTTTAGTACAAACTTTGATACAAATATTCTTTCCATTAGAATATTTGAATATTATTGAATGAATATTTACCACATAATCTTAAACACTGGCATAGGAGGGACAATGGCCTCCTCCGCATACCACCACCCCTAACCCCCACCCCAACCTTTTCAAAACCTGTTTATATCATTCAAATTTTGATTCTGGCTGACTTAGCCCCCGTTTATTTCTGGAATTCATTCTACATGTTACTCTGCACAAGAGTGTAAGGGTTGAGAGAAACTTGTCATTCTAAAAAAGTAATTCTTGACAGTAGTCAAGTTAAGGATGCCCTCGGACTTAGTTATGTGAACCAAATTTAAATTAAAAAAAACATTTTCTCAAGAAAAAGGTATAAAGTAATCAGTTTTAAATGAATTACATTTATTGTTTTGCTCTGCTTTTGTTTTTAGTTAGGATAAAGTTGTATCTCTATACTTGACCACAAACTATCTTTGATTCCTCTGATACAAGCTTCACAGACCTTTCTACTGATTGTGGTTTATTCTACTGTCTATAGGTTTTTTAGAAGTTTGCTAAGCATTTTCTAACTCAAATGATGATATCAGATAGCAGTCAGAGGTTCGACCTCAATTAAAGAAACATCAACTAAATCACTCCATATATCAGCGTTAAAGTTAATAATAGACATAATTAATTTTGTTTTGATTTTTGGTTTTAAAGACAACAATAGGAGTTTTTTTTAAAATTTTGAAAAACAGTTTGTTGTATGTTGTCTGTCTGATTTTTAACAAGTTCTATTGTGAAGAAGTCAAGGAGCATCTTTATAAAGACTTTTTACAACTACAATTCATTTTTCTCATTTCAGTGTAGTACAAACATATTGTTTAATATTTTGGCTTTTTAAAAATGTATTATTTACTTCAAACCTGTCATCACAATTTAAAAGAGGAAGTTCACATCTGCAAGTTCACATCTGCAAGTTCACATCTGCAAGTTTTAGATCGTTCAGCTGCAATTGCTTTTTGAAAAGTACTTTGTACCTTATTTCATAGAGGTTTCTCTTTCATTAGTGGAAGATTTGAATTCACGCTTTTCCAAATTTTAAAATTTTTTTCACCCACTCTTAAAACTATGGCAGGAGAATCAATTTTTTCAGTACTAAAAATAAATACAGTAGCTAATTATACAGCTAATATAAATACTTTATCCGTATTAGATTTTATAAATATGAAAACATTGCAATAAGTAACCTTTTCTCAACAGAAAAATGGAAACGCATTTAAAAATGGCGAACTTGTTGTTATACCAATTTATAACGCGAACAATAACATAATGTATTGCAAAATAGAACAGAACGTCACTTAAACGTTCTGTTCTATTTTGCAATACTTAAATGCAGGGATTTTCTTTTTCCAGATATTTCTAGAATTCCGGATATTTTTTTCAACTTTAGTTTTTCCAGATATCCAAAATACTTTCAATACATGCAAGTTGAGGTATATATTTTTCTAATATATTTGATTTTTAAGCTTTTTCACTCATTACTCTTAGAAAAATTATGAAAATGTCAAAAAAAAATTAGAAACAACTTAGCTAAAAGCGAAATTAAAAAGAAAATAAGGTAAAATAAATACCGGATTTTTTCTGGATAATTTATTCAATGTAAATCTATGTAAATGAAACCATAAAAATGAAATTTGTTTTGTTTTTCCCAAAAAAAAATGAGTTTTTAAATTTTTTAAATTGAAAATAATTTTATTCAATATAAATAGAACATTTCCCAAAGTAAGCTGAGTGTTGACTTTAACTTGGTAGTGGCTTATTGCTCGTTTTTAAAAGGTTTTTGCAGCAATTTTTTCTTTCTTAAAAACTTATTGGAATTTTTTTTTTTTTTTTTTTTTGCGCTTTTGAATTTTTTTAGCTTTTTATCGTATTTTTCTGACTCATAATTTGTAGTCTTTTAAGTCTTGTTAAATCATAGTCATAATATGAGATAGTCTGGCCAGTTGGGCCGTTTTTGCAATATTCTATTGTTTTTAAACAATAAAAGTTAAAACTTTGAATTTATGTTGAAAATCGTTTATTTATTGTGCCCAGACCACCAATATGTGCACAAAAATCTAAAAAATGGCGAACTCAACAGATAAACAGTGCTTCAATTATTTCATATTAAATTTAGAATCAAGTATATTTTTTTGTAAACTCAAGTTTATCTATAATTTCAGTTCTTTTCTCGTTAAAATTTGGAGTAAAAACGCTTAAACCAAATTCATTTTCACCAGTGTATGATAAAAGTCGGAGCATAAATTCAAACGCTACATAACAAAGCAGCATTCAAATAGTTTCTCTTTAACTCAGCAAATTAAAACACAAACTGATATTAAGCAAAAGTGTTCTACAAATAAGTTCATAAATTTTGTTACAAAGAATCTTTGCTGCAACGTGTTCTGCAAAGAAATTCATCAATTTTGTTTTAAAAAACATTCTTATACTTAAAAACGATCTTTGCTGCCTTCCATATATCAGAGATGAGCTTTCAAAGTACATATTTTTAAAAGATGATTCGAAGCTATTATTCAAGTTAATAAAATGAAGTTATTAAAATTATTTAAAGTGAAGTTGAAGTTTTTTATCCAAAATTTATAGTTGCAGATCAGAAAGGATATTTCTAACAGATCCTCACCTCTAGTAGGATATAAACTTGCTAATCATATTTAAAAAGAGAAAAAGAAAAAAAATTTCGTTCAATGTTTTGGTTGTTACGTGTTTAGTACTTTTTATTGAAAAAAAACCTAGAAAGGGTTTTAAAACTCCATCAAATAAATATTAGACATTTAATAAAGGTTATTTGATAACCAAAAAATTTGTTAAAAACATTCTAGCATTTGAACTGTATTGTAGTATGATTGAAAGATACAATAATAAAGTGAAAATCATTTAAAGTTGTATAATTTTTTACTTTAAATAATATTATCGTGTAATGTAATAAATAAAGCAATTTGTTTAACTACTTAAGTAGTTTAATAATTAAATAAAATTCGGGATTTTATTTATAAAATTTTAAAATATTATTAAGACTCCTTTGCATCACTTTTCCTTCACATAACTTCAACCTAATAGGTCACTTTTTAGCCTCTATGGATTTTTTTAAAGATTGACAATGCACCTTCTGATGCCCCAATTACTACAATTTACATGCATGATATAACTGCAACAATAAATACATTTCTTTATTTAAGATAGCATTCAAAAATCTATTCAAAAATAATAATGACAAATATATATATATATATATATATATATATATATATATATATATATATATATATATATGTAGATATATATATATATATATATATATATATATATATATATATATATATATATATATATATATATATATATATATATATATATATATGTAGATATATATATATATATATATATATATATTTATACACGTATATATATATGTGTGTATATATATGTATGTGTGTATATATATATATATATATATATATATATATATATATATGTATATATACACACATATATATAAATATGCACATATATATATATTTATATATATATATGTGTGTATATATATATGTATATATATATGTATATATATATATATATATATATATATATATATATATATATATATATATATATATATATATATATATATATATATATATATATATATATATATGCATATATACACACATATATATAAATATGCACATATATATATTTATATATATATATATATGTGTGTATATATATATGTATATATATGTATATATACATATATATATATATATATATATATATATATATATATATATATATATATATATATATATATATATATATATATATATATGTATATATATATATATATACACACACATATATTTGTGCTTTGCATAAACCATTAAATCTTGTGATATTCTTGCATTGAAGATTTTTATCTTTTATTATATACCAAATAATGTTTTTATAAGATTTGTTGCTAGTAAAATAGCCACAAAATAGCTTTGATATTTATATATATGTGTCTAACCTTATTTCATTATATTATAATGAAATAAGGTTAGACACAACTGTATTAAGCATTGATCTTTTTTAATGTAAATATTTAAATATTGACTTTCGTCTTCTTCAGAAGAAAAAGTTGATTTCTTTGAGTTGAGCTTTAGTAATATGAGAAACTACTATATTCTGCCTAAAGAAGGATTTGCTAATGAAAAGCTCTTAACTGGTTGATTTATTGAATATATATATTATCACTTTTGCCTAATATCAGTTTGTGTTTTAATTTGCTCGATCCAACAAAAAGTTATCTGATATATTTGATCATTAGTTATAATATATTATAACTAAAGATATATTTTTATTTATAATTTGTAAAACTTTTCTTCTTGATTCTTTGTTATAAATATCATCATCGGAAGAAAATATTTCAAATAGAAAAAGATTTATACTTCTTCGAGAAGTTCCAGAACCAAATATTTAACAATTAAGACGAGGCATTTGCAAAAATCAAGGATAAATCAATAATCTTCTTGTAAATATTCTTCTTAATGCGGATTTGTTTACAAAAAGTGTGCACTTATTGGTAGACTAGATTCTAAAAAAAGCTAACAATAAGATAAACAATAGCGCTCTTAAAATGGCCGGACTATGTATATTATGACTATGGTTAAATGTGTTTTTACTCTATACCTTTTTTTTTTTTTTTAATTTCTTAGTAACTTAGCAACTTAAATAATTTTCTGCAGTTTTTTTGGCTTTGTATAATCTTTATATTTAAAAAATATTTTTTTAATAAAAGATATAAAATTAAAGATTTTTGTTTTCTTGACCTTTTTTAGGCTTGAACGCCTTCTTCGAGATAAGCTTATGGAATGGCGCCCAAGATTCATAACTAAGTTTAACAGGTTGTTTAATAAAATTTTATCAATTATTTAAAGAAATAATATCGTCAAACGTACAACTTTTATTGATCTTGCTCCTTGTTGAGAAAATTGATTTTGATATTACCGATGTGTTTCATTTTTGTTTTTGTGTTGCGATTAATTTAAATAATTTTTTGCTGTGTCTTGATTATTGCAATTTTTTATTGTTAAATCTATATTTAATTTTTGATTTTTAGGTTTTGTACACAAACATTTAAGACTCTTCTTCTCAGGTTGGTAGGTTTTAGTTTTTCTCCAAGTTTTTTTTTATTTAAAGATTTTGTTGATATTTTTGTTATCTTTCAGTATGGAATCGAGAATAGTAATTTCGGGAACTGACGACCATGGTTTACCTTTGCAACAGTTTTTATCTTCACATGAGGTTTCAATTATTTATCATTTATATTTGTCATAAAATTTTTAAGTTTAAAATTTATTAAAAATACCAACAAATTTAGCTTATTGGATTTTCTCTTCAAATGCCTTATACCGATTCATCGACAATTGTAGACCGGGTTTATGGCACCGGTGTTCATAATTCGGATGATCCTGATATTGAATTTGCACTAGCTGTTCATGTACATCCCTATCCTAGTGGTGTTCTTGCTATTTGGATATATATAGGGCGACTTGTACGAAAAAAATAGCTCATTGATTTCAGAAAATGTTTTTTTTTTTAGTTTGTTTAAAAAATGTATTATTCAACATATATTTATTATACCCAATTGTTTTATTTAATATATTGTATATAGTATACATTTAATTGACAAATTACTTACGATTTAACAGTATTAACTGCTTGCTGTAAAA